ACCACGTGGTACAAATAATTATTCAACAATCGAGCAATTACGTCACAAATAACAAATTTTTCAATTTAACTAATGCGAGAACAAAAAGTATAAATAAATAAATAAAATTCAACCATTTATAACAAAAATTAAATAAACTAATTAATAAACCTAAAAATTACTTTTATTTGTACATAAATATTTATGTACAAATAAATAAATAAATCAATAAATAAATAAAAAACAATTCTCGTACGAAACTTTGCTATTCTAAAAAAAAAAAAAAAAAAAATTAAATTAAATAAAAATTGACGACAGGAAATAGAAAAAAGAAGAATAGTTATATGCAGGTGATGGTGAGAATGGGGGGCGAGGGGATAAAGAGAGAGAGAGAGAGAGAGAGAAAAATTTGAAAAATTTTGTCGGAAAAATTTAAAGCCGAAATTTTATTTAAAAAAAAAAAAAAAAAATCGGCAGCTATTTTCTCCTAAATATTTATTTCGCATAAATTTTCCTGACCGTTTTAGAATTAATCTAAACGTATGGCGTATTATGCGTCTTTGCCTTCTCCTTATTCTCCATCTTTCTCCAACTCCTCTCAAACCACCCCACCCCCCACCATCCCCCCATTATAAAATAAATAAATTTATAAAGCTTTGCACACTAATGTGTATATATTTACTTCGAGCGTTTAAATTTTTAATCACTCCATCTACTCTTTTTTTTTCTTTTATACAGAAGGTATGGATGCCATTTTGTAATTGAAAAAAAAATCCCTTTACTTAAGAATTGATTTCTTCCCCCCTCCTCCCTCCCTCCCTCTCCCCACCCCCCTTTGGGAGAAGTTGTTTGAAAACAACAAGGAACATTCATGGCGTTTAATTCGGATATTTACGAACGACTATCATCAAACTTCAAAAGTGCAAAAATGACTACGGAGAAAAGACAAAATTTTAATTTTATTCCCATTCACAGGCACCGGCATGCAACAGAGATAAAGACAGAGAAAGAGAGAGAAAGAGAAAGAGAGAGATAGAAAGAGATAGAAAACTCAACATGCATTTAGAAAATACTACCTTTGCCGGAGAGGATCGAAAGAGGTATCAAGGCCAAGGGCGGGGTGATCTTGACGATTGCCGCCGGCTGTCGATGTGGAAATAGATGCGGATTTGATGTGACCCTTGTTGACCCTTCCACCGGCCAAATTCTCATTAGTTCCCAATGCCGCACTGTTACACACACATACACGCACACGCATTAAACACATTTTAAATGTTACGAAACTTAACTTATGGTTAATAATAATAACACAAGACAAAAAAAAAAACGAAAATTAGTACTTTCTCATTAATATTATCATACCGTTAATATTATTATTATTATTATTATTACTATTATTTCTACTATTTTTTTTTTGTTTTTTACTTTTTGTTATTACCCGTCGTTAGTAAAAATTAAATGTTTATTTACTTAAGACAAATCACCATTACCTTCATCACAGAGCATTCAAATACAAAATCAACAGGAAAAAAAAAAAAAAAAAAATTCAATTTAATTTGGTTACAATTAAAAAAAAAAAAAGAAAATTTTGTTTTTTCCTTTCATCATCATCATCATCATCGTCGTCGTCATCATGACGTCATAATTTTAAAAGCATATTTGCAGTGCCGTAACAACCCCTTAAAATATTACCATTATTGAACCACAAAAGAAAAAAAAAAAGCAACTAAAATTTTTTCATTAAATGCAAAAATAACTCGAATGATTTTACTCGCGCGCATCTCCCCCCCACCCTTCCCACTCCCCGATCACGCTCCCCTTCATATTAACGTGTGAAAATTATTATTATTATTATTCCTCATATTAAATTCATGTTTTAACCTGTCGCTCCTCGTCAGCTAGTAGTAACCGTACAATAAAAACTTTTTTTTTTTTTTTTTTTTTTTTTTTACTAAGCATCATCATTTTAAAAATTGTAAAAGCGCGGGAAAAAATTTACTCGCACTTTATTATTATTATTATTATCATTTTAGAAAATGATTTTGATTTTTCAAACAACTCACACGATAGAAAGAAAAAAAAAAAAAAAAAGAAATAGCCTAAAATTTAATAGTATGAAAAACCCCGCTAACGTGTGCAAGCCTGAAATAAACGATTTGTAATACACACAAAAGGCAGGGAGAAAGAAAGACGTAAGGGAATTTCTGCATACCTTGGTGTACCTAAATCTCCGGTTATGTTTGTCTTTTCGTTAGAAGATGATTTCGCTTCGTAACTAATAGTACTACGCCGCCCGACGGATCCACCCGACGATAGATTCCTATTACCAGTCATGGTATTTGATTTAGTGACGCCGCGCGGCTTACCAGGACTTGCACCTGAATAACAAAGGACACAAAGGGTAAATGTAAATAAAAAGAAAAAACCAACGCTTGGGGGAAGGGGGGAGGGGGAGGGGGGAGAGAGAGAGGGCAGACCAGTGCTCCCTCTTCTTCATCATCATCACGTACTCGAATCAAGGGATGTTATATTGACTGAATTTTTGGCTGCGGTCGGTCTCGACGCTCCACCCCCGCTCGAATTGATTCTCGCAGTGTTTTCCTTTATGGTAGCCGAATCTACCGTGTTTTGCCGTTTGAAATTGCTTGCCGTCGTGTGGTTATGATTCGTTGCGTTCGAAGGAGTTGCCGGTGCTCCTCCTAAAATAAATTATTATTATCATTATTATTATTTTCCTTCATTTACGCAAAAACGTACTCACTTAACGAGTATCAAAAAAAAAAAAAAAAAAAAAAAAAAAAAAAAACGAAAAAAGACAATGGAACAACCTCTGTGGCAGGAGGATACCTCGTAAGCAGTGAATGGGTTATTTTAAGCACTGCTCTTGGCATTCTTGGGCCTCCAAAACAAACAAACAAACAAAAAAAAAATTTTTTTTATTTCTTTCACGTTGGCAACGCAGTCCAACTCATTAACTGAAAAAATTTATTTATATAACTGGAGGCCCTTGAAGCGCCCTGCCAAGATACCGGCTTACTAAAATATTAGTTATTATCCACCCTTCGTTTAGCTCCCCCAAAAAAAATAATAAAAAAAAAAAAAAAAAAAAAAAAAAAAAGCATTTAATAAACAGAGACGTGAACCTCGTCTATTAAGTCAAATAAATATTTTTCGTCATTTAAAAAAATCAAAACTGTAACTGTTTTCGCGCACGAAAAAAAAATTCATCTTTTTGTTAACGAATTCGTCAGTCCACCATTAAAAATATTCGTAAGTACGTTGTTATTGTCCCATTGTATTTAGTAATATAAAAAAAATTAATCCGATTATTATTAGGAGTGTTTACTACTACTATTATTAAAATTATTATTAATTATTTAATTAACGAATTGTTTCATTGTCGTTAATCGTTTTAGTGTTCGAAATTCACAACCAGAAAAAAAAAAAAAAAAAAAAAAAAAACCTGGTAAACCCCCCCCTTTTTAGTGAAAAAAAAAAATAATAATAAAATAAAAAGGCAGTTAAAATTTTCTTTTAAAAAAGAACAACGTTTGCCCGAAAAAAAAGCCTTAAAAAAAAAAAAAGAAAAATTTTTTTTTTTTTTTTTTTTTTGGGTACCCCCCTTGGGAATTTAACTGTCATCCTGGTGTCCTTTTGGGCCTTTTTTTTTTTTTTTTTTTTTTTTTTTGGTAATTATAAATTTGTTTTTGCATGTGATTTGGTGTTTATTAATTTACAAAAAAAATTGCTTTTAGTCAGTGATATGATATCACACTTTACAAAATCTTATCGTTATACGATAATATAAAAAAAAAAAAAAAAAAAAAATTTGTTATTAAACCTACAATAAGCCTACGATTTTTTTTTTTACGTTTTTTGCGTTCGCAACGAACGCATCTCGAGTGATGAGTAATGGCTACCGAAGGAAAAGGTATAAAAAAAAAAAAAAAAATGGATCTGCGTATGCACATTTAACAGCAAAAACAGTAAAAAGACAGTAAAATTCAAGTGTTGGTGGCCCACCCCCTCCAGCCGTCGCGGGCGCCGCACCCGGCTGGACCTCACGCAAGGTCTCACCGCCAGAAGATGCCCTTCTATTGGGTTTCGGATTTGTCGCCGAAATGGAACGATGAACACCTCGGTGTCCGTGAAGCGGAGATTGGGCGTTCCCAGCCGGCGTTGCTGCGGGTATGTTACATGACAGCGAACTACCCGATCGAGATCCGTCACTTTCCGGCTGTCGGAAGACAAAGACGCAGGAGACGTAGAAAAAAAATAAAATTTTAATTTATTACTCGAAACAACAAACAAACAAACAAACAAACAAAATTTCGACATTTTGTTTAAATAACGTAATAATAATAATAATAAATTTAACGAGACTCACGTCAGTGTTTTTCCTTCCCAATAGCAAATATGTCGCGAATACATCATCGTATTTAAACTGAGATAAACTATCTTCTATTTCGCCTCTGCTGTACCCCATTCCTATGAGGGCTTCTGGAACAATGGAGAGTAGCGGATAATCCGTTAATTAAATAAATTCACAACATCAAAAGCAGACTTTACTGGAGAACATAACCCATCTATCTATCTATCTAGGGGTAGTGCAAGCAATTTCATTTCATTTTACGTGTAATTGTGCACAATTAAAATTTACTTCATATCAATGCTAATCTATATCCTTAATTCAATATAAAAAACAAACTTTGAAATGAATGGGGAGGTGGTGGTGGTGGTGGTGGTGGAGGGTAACTAATAAATCACACCGAAACTATTTTTTTTTTTTCTAATGTTATTCTAAGGGTAGGTAAGGGAAAAGTATAGGATGCGTTAACAAACCCTACCGTAAAACTAAAACAACACAATTCAATCAATCTTCTAGATGACTGCGGCGGGGGGGGAAAACAAAAATTTTTTTTTTTTTTTTTTTTAAATACCCACCACCGACAATCCACGAGAACAACACGTACCTATCCTTTTATGGTCTTTAAAATCTGGTTCCGGTTCTACGTAAGGTTTAAGCTCGTCTTCCTCGTAGCCCACATTCATCCATTTATCTTTCATTATACTTTCTAACGAAGCTCTTCGAGCGGGATTCAAAACTAAAAACTTTTTAAGTAGGTTTTCACAGTCGGACGACATGTAAAACGGTATCCGGTATTTTCCTCTCAACACCCTTTCCCTCAGTTCTCGTAACGTTGAACCGTCGAAAGGTAAGGAACCACTCACTAACGTGTATAAAATAACACCTAAGGACCAGACGTCGACTTCGGGTCCATCGTATTTTTTACCTGGAAATAACAAAACGTGAAACATTTGATTAACATGATTCGCACGATGAGTACTGGGGGGGAGCGGGGGGGGCGGGGGGCGGAAAAAAAAGGAAAATTCTTGGCAAACTTTTCTTTTAAATTTCTTTCAAGTACCATAAACATGATGAAAAGTAGGGGGCGAGGCGAGAGAGGGGACGGGGCGAGAGAGGGGGCGGGGGCGGAGAAATCTGAAACGACTTGAAAAATAAAATAAATTTTTTTTTTTTTTACAAGACTCGACTATTGTTGTTGTTGTTGTTGTTGTTTTTTTGAAGGTGAGATAAAATTTAAAATTAATCAAAGATGATAATTTGATAAGTTTTGATAGTTTCACGGTCGTTGATGGTATCAGCGTAATTAGTTTGCACGATACCAACCGAGGGTGAGGGGGCGGGGCGGGGCGGGGCGGGGGAACGAAAAGAAATTAGAAAAAAAACAAACCTTGGAATAATTCGGGCGCTGCATAAGGTGGACTTCCACAAAACGTATCTAATTTATTACCAGGAGTAAATTCATTACTGAATCCAAAATCGGCTATTTTTATATTCATTTCACTGTCTAAAAGTAGATTTTCAGCCTGTGAAAAAAAAAAAATAATAATAATAATAATAATAATACACGTGCCTGTATACAAAATGACACACGAATAATAAATAAATAAAATAAATAAATTCACAAACCTTTAAATCTCTATGAATGATTTTCTTTTGATGACAATACTGAACGGCTGATACAATTTGTCGGAACTTTGCTCTCGCTTCTTTTTCCTTCATTCGACCGTGCATGACCAAATAATCGAAAACCTCACCCCCGCTCGCATATTCCATAACTAAATAAAGCGTTTTTTCCGTTTCAATTACTTGAAATAGTTTAACAATGTTTGGATGATCTAGCATCTTCATTATTCTAACTTCCCTAAATAACTGAAAAATAACAAATATATATATATATATTAATTAAATATTCGTAAAATTATTACTCCCTTATTATCATCATTATTATCATTGATACTTTTTTTTTTCTTTTCGAAACTAGTTAATTAAGAAACCTGTAAAATTATTAGATTATAAGAATAATTTGCATGAATAATAAATACTCCTTCATGCACCGCAGCTCATGACCCCCTTATTATTATTACAATTATTATTATTTTCCTTTTTTTTTTTGTTTGTTTATAAATAGTGATAATAATAATGAATTTCTTAGTTTTTCCCACGCAATTAAAATAAAAATTTATTTAATATTTATTTAAAAAAAAAAAAACAATTTTACGGAAACTTTACCTTTTGTAAACTCACTGGATTTAGCTGCGTCTTGTCTATAATTTTGATTGCTACCTGGAAACAAACAAAACAACAATCGAGTTATTAAAAAAGGGAATCAATAAAAATATATATATATACCTAGTCGTACGAAAAAAAAAAGAAAAACTCACTTCTTTTCCTGTGGGCACATGTTTGGCGAGTTTCACTTTGGCAAAGTTTCCCTTGCCGATAGTTTTGAGCAGTTTATATTTGCCTATGTGGGGCTCGTCAGATGTGCGACTCCTGGATGAAGAAACTCGACCGCTGGAGGATGTTTCGTTCGCCTGGAGGAAAAAAAAAAAAAAAAAAAAAAAATTTTTTTAATCATATAAATGAATCCATTATTTAATTATGAAAATAGTTTATATTTTGCATTAATGTTCGGCGTATCACGCGAGATAGACAACAATTTTATTATTATTATTATAATCCTTCCCTACTTCCCACACACACGCACACACGCACAAAATGTGTATGTGTGCATACATGTATCAATATAGATGCGTGTGCATGCACCATTTTATAATCTTATTAATTAACATTATTACACATAGTATTTTAAAAATGTCGGCCTTGCGAATTTAGAACAAAAACGAACCGAAAAAAAAAAAAAAAAAAAATTTTTTTCAAGTATTGATTTCCTTCCTGAATTTTAAAATTTTTATATAATTTCATCCGCGAAAAAAGCTAAAAAAAACCGAGAGGTTGTGAGGTCGTCGCGAGAGAAAGAAAGAGAGACAACCAACGAACGCACACGCACATACACACACACACACTCTCTCTCACTCTCTCTCAAAAAAAAAAAGAAAATTTCCCGCCATCGATCGATTTTTCCCATTTTTTTGTCATTGCCGCCTTGCGTTTCCCCGATTATTAAAATAATGACGAGTAAATTTTGTTTTTTTTTTTTTAAGTTGGCAATCGTGTTTATGCAGCATTTATTCCGTACCTATTCCACACGTTAATTTAATTACTTGCACGTGTAACTCTGACGAAATAATAATAATAATAATAATAATAATATTAAAAACTCATCATTATTAAAAACAATCATCATAAATTTTTAATTTCTTTTTGAAAGGCTTAAATTTAAACTTTTTAATATAAAAAAAAAAACTCGATTAAAAAATTTTTCCATTCTAAGCTTATTTCTCGATAATAATAAAACAAATCTCAACGCGAATCATTCAAACTCGGAAAATCGGAAAACTCGTTTTAAAATGCAAAATGTACAAAAAAAAAAAAAAAAAAAAAAAAAACAATTTTGTATAATTTAAAAGGACGCTTCAACAAAAATAATAACAATAACAATAATAATGATAAAAGTTCATAAAGAAAAAATTTTTTTTCTTCTTTCGAAAGGGGACAAAGACCGGAAGGGAAGGAGGGAGGGAGGGAGAGAGAGGAGAGAGAGGAGGCGGATATTTAACGAACGTTAAATGTTTTAAATGGAACAATCCTGAATATGTGTGAGAACCTGTTATTATAGTTAAACTATTAACCTAAAAGAAACTTTTTTCGTTTGTTTTGTTTTTTGTTTGTTTTGTTGTTTGTTTGTTTGTTTGTCGTTTGTTTTTTTAAATCTTATTTTTTTTTTTTTTTTTTACATTGAATCGATTCATCATCAGAATGTTTCTAATATTTAAACATCAAATTTTCATTTTTGATTTCGAATTTTCTTTTTTTTTTTTTTTTTTTTTTTGGTGGAGCTTCACGACTTCAAACATATTCATATAATAAATATCTTGGCTTGCTATTGAAAGACAGTTTTCCTTTTTTCCCTTCCCCCTCGCCTCCCCCTCCCCAGGAGGGTATATTTCTTCTGCTTCTTCTTATTTTTTTAAAATTTCCAAAAAGCTTTCATCAAAAAAAAAATTAAATTTAAACGTCAGGTAAAATAAATAAAAAATAAATAAAAACTTATGTAATTAAATTTTCCCTTCTACCTTTTTCACGGTAACTTTCCTTTCTTTTTTTATCATTATTATTAATATTTATTTATTTATTTATTTATTTATAGTTTGTGAACTTTCAAGTACTTTAAAATAAATACTCGGGTGATCAAAAAACCGTAAATTTTAAATTTAAAAAAAAAAAAAATCGTTACTTAATCGAACATGTGATTCGCACACACACGCAATTTTCCATTAAAAATTATTTTTATTCAATTTTGAGGGGGGGAAGAAAAAGAGAAAGAGAGAGAGAGAGAGAGATAGAGACAAGGGGACGAATGATGATATAGAGAAAGACAACGAACGAATCCACGTTTTTTTTTTTTTTTTTTATTTAAAATAAATAGTAGTTTTGACCTGAATGTTTAAAAAAAAAAAAAAAAAAAATTAATTACAAAAACATGATGATGGCGAGAGAATACAATTAATTATAAACTCTACGAAGGATTAACAGCCGAGTCCTCGCGAACCTTCATTTTTTTTTTTTCACTTTAAGAAACTCATTCTGTCGTTTAAATCATTTCAAAAACGAATAAATTTAATTTTAACGGGATGCCAACCTAGTTACTTATGTAATTACACGCGCACGCACACACACACACACACACACTTCCACAAACAGCCATCACGTAGAAGAAAGACATAATCGAGTGGAAAACCTGTAAAAAAAATTTTAATTTAAGTTTCCTACGATGTTTCCCCTCCCTCTCCCTCCCCCCCCCCAAAAAAAAAAGAAAGAAACTTCAAAGTGTATCATCAAAAAGTCGTGAGTTAAAAGTAGTGGTTAAAAAAAAGGGAAAAAGGGAAAAAGGAAAAAGGAAGGAATCGATTGAAAGTTCAAAAGTTATTGTTTGCCAAACGAAATCTCTTAGGGAAGGATTAAAAAGTTCAATTTTTATTTTTTCTACTCTTTTCCAAAGACAAGAAAATAAACTACAGAATGGATATTAAAAAAAAAAAAAAAAAAAAAAAAAAAAAAGAAAGAAAGAAAATTTTACAAGTCGATAGATAAACAATATTAATAAACCAACACACAAAGAAAGAAAACGCGTTCACATCCTCGCACACACGATCGATCACGCCTCGTAATAATAATAATAATAATTATCGATTAATTTTATTATTATTATTATCATCGTATCATTCTTCGTAATTAAACTAATACCTAAACTTCCCCCCTCCCCCCCATTCTAATTAACGCAACCAAGATACGGTTTTTTTCTTTTTTTTTTTTTTTTTTTTTTTTTTTTTTCTTGAAACCATTGAGGATTTTTACCGTGAGAACAACAACAACAACAAGTCACGGTCTTTGAACAAAATCAAGAGGATAGAAGAACAAATAAGATGAGAGGAGCAGGTAGGAGGGGAGGTTGGGGGGAAAGGAATGAAAATCAACAATGAATGCACACCAGGTCACTGACGACGATGACGATGATGACGATGACGAAAAAAGTACAATTTTATATAAGTGCGTGTGTACGTATGAATGCGTGCATGCGTGCGTGTGCGTGCGTTTATATGCGTAATATTCCGTTTTTTTTTTTTTTTTTTTTCCAAGAAAGGAAAATGATTTGTAAATTTTACCATCACGCATAATCTCAATTCGTTTTTTTTTTTTCCTCTTCCGCTACACGTTTTATCACCTTTGCCCCTATTACGGTACGCACATATACCAAATTTTTCTTTCACCTCTTCCTCCTCCTCCCCCTCCTCCTCCATACCTCAAACCGACCCAAAACAAAATAGTTTTTTGTTGTTGTCTTTATTTAGAATTAACCTGGCACCTCAATATATATGTATGTTTTCCGCATGAGTTTTAAATGGAAAAAATATAATTACTCAAGTCTCTTTTAAATGGCATTGTTTTCCTTAACCATGCATAATGCCATGTCACACGTGCGTGATTTTCTCTCTCTCTCTCTCTCTTTTGATTTCTAAATTCGCCCAATTGCAAAATCAACTACGTAAGATAATAGTCTCTTGATTGCTAATTAATGTTATTACAAAAAAAAAAAAAAAAAAAAAAAACTTTCATCCAACTTTCCCCATCACAGAAACACACACACAAACTTGTCTCCATTAAATACATTTTTGCAAAGTGATGATAAATTAATTCGTACATTTTTCCATTTTTCATTGTCAAAAAAAAAGACAATACAAAAAAATATTATTAATAATAATAATAATAATAATAATACATTGCGAAATCGTCAAATTTCTAAAAAAAAAAAAAAAAAAAAAAAAAAAAAAAAAAAAAAAAATCCCCAAAGTTAATTTCTATTATGTTGCGGCATCTTCTAATCAATTTTTAATGAACAACAACAACAACAACATCATCATCATCATCGTCATCGTCATCATTTTGACGAATGAAAAATTCTACCATTTACAAATTTACCTTTTGGCATTTAAAAAAATAATAATAATAA